TGTGTGTGTGTGTGTGTGTGTGTGTGTGTGTGTGTGTGTGTGTGTGTCAGAGAAATACCCTTTTGGGAGGGAGTGGTGGGAAGGAAAACCAGATCTCCAATGCAGTTCTGCACCTGCCCTGTCATGGATAGTTTTTTGAGAGTTGCCTGTGGTTATAAGGTTGAGGTACTTTACCTAAGGTCACGAAGTCATTTGTGTCAGAGGCAGGGCTTGCTCCTAGGTCTTCCCAATTCTGGGACTAGTTATCAGGAGGGCATTTTAAGCATAGGGAATGTTATAAGCAAAGGTATGGAAGAAGTAGTGCTTCCTTGGTCACCCTCTTAATGTACTCTTCCTGATCTCTTTCTTCTTCATTACAGTCTGGCTGATCTCATTTCTTTCGTTTATCTGGTCTTTTCTCTGGCCCTTCACTCAGACTGTTTGTTCTAGTCTCCTTCCCTTAGAGTCCCAGCCTGAACAGTCACCCCACATTTGGGCTTAATTCTTAAGGATATCCCTGTACCTCCTTCTTTGAGTGTTGCCCATCTTTATTATACATCCATACCCCCTTCCTATTTTGTTTAATTCAGAAAACATACTGGAAGACCAGTGAATAGGAAGAGTTAAGGATGGGGTGGGGGGAGAAAGCTCTTTGTCTCCGTAACTTTTCTATCTCTTAGTCTTCTTGTCAGCCTGTTGCCTCTGATATTATCATGTCTGAGATCACCTTTTACATTTAATAATTATTTTTGTCTACTCAGAAGCAGAAGGCTAACAAGCAGAATAAACAGTAAATTGGGGATTCAAACATTTCTATATTCAAAGCTATATAATTGGAAGTATAGATCCCTAAAAGGCTATACAGAGTCACTGTCGCTCTGTCCTATCATTGAAGTTACCTTCTTTTTTCTCCACCCCATCTAAATCTCTTTCCATTCCTAGTGTTTTTATTGCTCTTTTTCTTCTCATTACTGTTCCCTGAATTATTATCCCTTGTTTTATCAATTCAGGATCACCACCTCCAATCTCCTTTCTTTTATCTTTGCCACTTTTCCAGAAACCACCTTTTTGCCTATGGGATATTCCCTTCTAGAGTTGGTGCTGAACAGGTTTATCAAAGCCTTTGGTTTTTGTTCTTGTGCGGAAGAAAAGAATGAGTTTGGCTTTATTCCTGTTCTCCAGCTAAGCCTCTTGCCCTGTCCTGTCCAGTACAATGTATGCTATTTTCTGCATTTAATGATGATAGCAAGCTTTTGTCCCATCATCTTGTCCACTTTTCCTGATCACATTGGATGTGTATCTCTTTGATCTAGACTGTTTTCCTGCTTCCCTTCCCAAGATCAGTTTGTGTCCAGGTCCTTGAAGAACTGTCAGTAGGAAATCAGCTTGGCATGTTGAACCTGTTGCATCCATGACTCCCAAAGCTGACCAACAAGATAACTCGGGAAGTTACTGCTAGAGTTGGCCTCTCAGCCCAGGTTCCCTTCCTCCCAACCTCCATTTGTGTGTATTTGGCTTCCCATACCACAACAGGTTAAAGGGGGCAGGCTTATTTGACTTCTTCCTTAGTCTCTTCCTTGTGCTTTCTATTAACTAACCTTTCCTTCTGTGGGATTTGGTCTGTTCCTAGACTCTAGGCCCATTCTGGTCTTCCCTGTTTGAGTCTTAGCTTTAATACTCCCTCACCCCTTATTTGGAGATGGTCCTGAAGAGAATTTGACTCTTTGGGTTCCCATTTGTCTCCTTTTCTGAGTGTGGTCTGTGCATTGTACTTAGCTCAGGAAAAAGATAAGATATTTCAGAAGGTAAATGAAAATGAGTTTTGGAGACATTAGAGGGGGAAATGTCTTGGTCCAGCAAGTATAGATAGGGTCCAGGGAACTGGGAAAACATCTGACTGATCACCGAAGCACATCTGGGAAAGCACGACTAGCAGGTAAGAGAATAAGCACAGGTCTATGAGCCTTAGCTCCCCAATAAGTATACTTCCCTCTGTTTGCTCCAGTACAGTCTTTGAGATGGGAAAATGAGCGATCTTGCAGCTAAGAACTTGCTGTGACAAAAGTTGACTTCAGCAGTGCATGAGTATTGGGGGCATTCCATATCAAAAGTGCCTTTTGTCTACAACCCCACATGACTTCAGCAAGTACTTATAGGTTTGTAAGCATTTATAAGAGAATGGAGACTGTGTGTGTGTGTATACACATGTGTATACACATACACACGTATATATGTATGTGCGGCACGAGTGCACTGCTGTGAGGATTTGATTGAGGTATAAATCACCAACTCTGCAACAGGTTTACTTGCTTTAAGCTCAGGGAACCTCCTTGTACAGATCCCTCTCCCAAGACATAGTCACTTTCTAACTGTTCTCTCTAGACTGTCCATTCATTTCTCCTTATCTTTACCACTTTTGAGTTCTTCCCTGGAAGATCTTCCTTGCTTGAAGATTCTTAACTCCTAAATCACTGTTTCCTCTTTTCCTTCAATCACTTTCCCTGTTGCTGCCCACATCCTACCCTTGCCTCCCAGACTCTGTGGGGCTTCTGGCCTCTGTGCTGGTAGCCCTTGGCTCACCCCACCAATACCTGGAGGTCTTAGTTCATTGTCCAGAGGAGTTGAGTGGAGAGGCCCAGGCCTAGGACTTCCTCTCCTTCAGCTCCTGTTGTATCCGCAGAACTCCCCTTGCTAGAGGGTGGCCGAGGTGAGAAGCTTGGGGGGAGGGAGGGGTAGAGGGAGAGCCTAGTTATGTGGGTGTGGAGAGGAAGGTCTGTGTCCAAGGGAGCCATTGATGGCATAGTAGATGACAACATTAAGTACATGATAGTTCACAGGTGTCTGGAAAGGGAATTGCATGACCTGGGGAGAATGTGGTTACCAAACTTACAGGTATAGGTCACATGTTATCAGGATGCAAATTCTTCCTCACACCCATCCTGCTAATGCACTGAACATGCCCCATCTCCCATCCAAGGCTCACATCTACACATGCACATACGTGCACTTTGCTTCCCTTCCAGTACCTTTCCCTTCTGTGTGTAACTTCTGCCTGTAATTCTGCTTCCAGCTGACACTAACAATCCTGCGGCAGACAGGTGGCCTGGGGATCAGCATCGCAGGGGGGAAGGGCTCCACCCCATACAAGGGAGACGACGAGGTAAGGGAGGCCTGGGCCTTCTATCTGTGACCCACCTTGGGCTGGCAAGCAGGGCCCCAAAGGCCTCCTGCCTTGACTACCCCCTTGCCTCTCATCCTTCTGTTATGTTTGCCCCCTACTTCCTCCTACTAAGCCTTTTATTCTCTTCTTTCACCTTTACCCTCACCTCTACCATATAGCATTTTGCTGTCACTTGATAACTTAGATTTTCATCTCTAGAACTTGAGGCTGGGTTTTTTTAAAGATACTTTTCTTGTGGTTGAGTTAAACTGCCATCATTTGGAAGTAGATACCTTAGTTGTGGTTTTCATTGCATAGTATATGCTATGCTGAGATCCCACTTGTAACCACAAAATCTTCATACCACTTAGAGCCACAAAATCCCCTCTTTCTCCGAAATGTTACTTTTTATTAAAGTGCCTAAAAACGTATTGAGTGGATACTGTATTTTAGAACAACTTCTAAAGAAATGCCTATGGTATGTATAATGTGGTACCTTTATTTTTTACTTTATGAACTCACCTTGAATCTTGACTTGGCCCATTCTGGAGGTTGGCCTTATTTCCTTTATCTTCCTCTTCAGTCCTGACCACTCTCAGTCAGGGCAAAGGGGAAGCCTTAGTTTTGCCATCTGATATTCAGGATCTACTAAAATGTTCTGAGCAGCTGCCCTTATGATTCCCAAGACCCTCTCTTATGGTGAAAGAAAACAAGTAAGCAAAGCTGTGGTAGCATCTCTGCCAATAGCAACAAAGTTCAGTGATTAGGTCCCTTATTCTAGAAAGATTTTCAGTTGTTTGGTTTTTCATTTCCTGCTCAATTACTAATTTACCTCCAAGTGATGGCTTTCTATCCTTTTGCAGAGTTTGCTTCTAGCAATAGTTTTAGTTCACAACTATTCACACATTACTTTGCAGAAAAATTTTAAGAAAGCCTTAAGAGTTCCTTACACAAATCAGAATTTTTAACATGTTTTCAAGGAGGCAAGAGCTTAAATTGGTTTCGTGACATTTCCAGTGCCGCCCATCTTTCTACCTCTTTGGCTGCTCAAATAAAGCCCGCAGAAGGGCGTAAACAGATCAGATAGAGTGGTATGTGGCAGTGGCATGGGTTAACTGAAACCTTTCCCTCTCCTACTTACATATAAACTGAAGTGTGACTTTCTCTCTTTCACTCAGAAGATGACCCCATTCCCCAAACCACTTTTCTCTTCTTTTCAGGGCATATTCATCTCTCGAGTGTCAGAGGAAGGTCCTGCAGCCCGGGCTGGGGTTCGAGTAGGGGACAAACTACTAGAGGTGAGGGATATATATGTGAAGGGTGAGAATATGAGTGAGTATACATGTCTTTCCATAGGCATATTACTGGGTGCATACCTGCATGTTCATATGCATATGTTCTGTGTCTCTCTTCATATATCTGTGGGCATGTCTCTCTTTGTGTCTTAATACATCCATCCAGTCTTGCCTGAGCATCTTTGTTATGCTTTGGTTTGCAGAAAACAAAAACGTCTAATACATAGTCCCTCCTTTCAGGGAGCTCCAGATTTGGTTGGGGAGTTATGACTAAGGCATTGCAATAGTTTGAGAGCCCATTGTTGATCTAGGTACTAACTACAAATGTTCTAAGAGTCTGAGAAGGGAGCAGGTCTCTTGGGCTAGAGAAGTGAGGGAAGAATTCATAGAGGAGGTATGAACTAGTCCTTTAAAATCTGACTATCCTGTGGAAAATGATAGCTGACATTTATATGTAAAAAAGTGCTTTATGTATAATACGTCATTCGATCCCCTGTGAGATAAAGGCTATTTTTATTCCTAGTTTACAAATGAGGAACTTGGGCTCAGAAGTCATGTCACATAGGGAATGCAGTGACAGAGTCAGAGTCAGGAGAATGTGAGTTCCAATCCTTGTTCTCTTAGGAGCTGTATCTATGGGCAAGTAATTAATTTCTCTGAGCCTCAGTTTCTTCGTCAGTAAAATGGGGATAAAATCTTCACTGCCTGTATCACAAGGTTGTTGAAAGCCTCAAATGAGAACATAAGTGAAGTGCTTTGCCAACTTTAAAGCACTGTTTACGTGTCAGATGTCATTATTGTTGTTATCTAATGAGCTATGCATTTTGCAAACCTTGAAGGGCAGTAGAAGTGTAATTATTGCTAAGTGATTTGCTTCGGCTCACACAGATAATCCAGGGACTGTAAGGAGGAGAGCATTCTATTCATTAAAAAGATATGCTAGGCTTAGTAGATTACCAACTCACTAAGTATCGCAAGTGTGATATGGAAGGCAAAAAATGAGTGTAGTTTTAGACTATGTTGAGAAATTGCTCTAGTACTAAGCAAGAGGGGTGACCAGGATCGTGAAAAGCCATGTGATTATGCCATATTAATAGTGGTGGGAAGAATGGAAGATGTCTAGCATGGAGAAGAGAAGACATTATAGCTGCTTTTAGATATCTGAAGGACTGTCATGTGGAAGAGAGACTAGTCTTGTTCTGCCTGGTCCTAGAGTAGAGAACAAGAAACAAGAAGTAAAAGTTGCAGGGGCGGATTCAATTCTTTGGGAAAAAGTTTCCTACAATTTGAGATATTAAAGAGAGTAATGGGCTGTTATCGGAATTAACAGGTTTCCCCTCACCTTTGCTTTACAAGCAAAAACTGGATGACCACTTGTCTGGCATGTCATGTATGTTGTAGTTTTTGTTTAGGTACAGGTTAGACTAACCAGATGACTTCTAAAATCCCTTCCAGTTTGAGATTCTGTGATTCTGTTTTTATAGGCAAAAGGAATCGGATTCTGGAGCAAGGTAGTATTATGATGAAATTGAACTTTAAATAAGATTAATATTCTTGTGATCTGTAAGATGAATTGGAGGAGTAGAGACTAGTTGAAAACTGTTGTAGTTATTGAGGAGTATGGTGGTACGGCACTGGTCTAGGTACTGGAAGTGATTGATGCAAGAGGCTTTCTGATGGGGAAAAAATGATAGGATTAGAAGAGAAGTTGCATGTAGGAGATAAAGCCAAAGATTACTTCAAGCTTTCAGGAAGAATGGTAGTGCTACTGAAAGAAATGGAGCAGTTTCCCATTTCCATCTCTCTGATTGCTTCTCCTTTGCTGTTTCTTTATCCTCTTCCCAACTTTTTAATGTCGGTAGCCCCCTAATCCACAAATCCCTTCTGCAACATACTTGACAAGTGGTCATCCATGCTTGTAAAGCTTTAGTGAGGGGAAACCTGGTAATTCCCAGGGCAGCCCATTATGCTTCTCAATAGCTCACATCGTCAGAAAATTTTTCTAGCATAGTTGAAATCTGCCCATTCGACTTTCATCTCTTGTTCCTTGTTCTCCACTCCGGCCCTCTCTAGTCCTTCAAGATCCTGTGCCCGGTCCTCTCCTCACCTTTCTGTATGCTCTTCCCCTCGGCAGCCTTGTCTGTTCTCATGGCTCCATTTGTCACAGCTGCACAGATTTCTCCCAGATATGTTTTCAGCCCTGATCTTTCACCCAAGCTTCACACTCAAGTGTCCAAATTCTTAGGGGGTCATCGAATCAGTCAGTAAACTTATATGTCTTTACTGTGTATGAGACACTACAAATAAAGAGACGAAAACCCAACAGTTCTTGTCTAGAAGGAGCTTATATTCCACGGAGAGACAATATGTGCACATTGGAGTATATAAAAAGTTAAAGGTAATTTTGGAGGGCTGAGGGAATTAGGAATAATCTCATATACCAGCTGGTGGTTGAACTCAAGTTTTGAGGGAAACTTGGAATGCTAAGAGAGTGACATGAGGCAACATGACTAATATGGAAATACATTTTATGTGATTGCATACATATAACCTATATCAAATTGCTTATAAAAATGTTTGAGAGAGGGTAGAGGTGAGGGAGCAAGGAAGAAAATTTGGAACTCAAATTTTTTTTTAAATATTAAAATTTATATTTACATGTAAATGGAAAAAATACTATAAAAAATTTTTTTAAATAGGAAAAAAGTGACATAAGGAGAGAATGCATTGCAGACATTGGGGATAGTCCTTGAAAATGCTCAAAGGAAAAAAATGAAGGCCAGTTTCATTGGACCATAGAATGTTTGAAAGGAAGCAATGTTATCACCACCATCTGGAGATCCCATTATGATCTCAAATCCAAAATCAAGTATATTTTCTTCCTGTCTTTCATTTCTCATAACTTTCCATTTAACAACAACGACAACAGCAATATTCTAAGAACCTACTATGTGCCAGGCACTGCCCAGTGCTGAGGATAAAAACAGACCCTGCAACAGTCACTCCTGCCCCCTGCATGCCCCTCCCCCCCAAGTCAGCTATGTCCAAATGGGGACATCTGACTTGTACATAAACGAATATGAAACAGGATAATATGTGATAAGGGAAGAAGAGGTCCAGACCAAGAAAACACGAGGAATGAAAGATCATATATTAGGGTGGGATTAAGGAAGGTTTAATGCAAAAGTGCAAGCTGGCCAGCTGAAGGGCCCCCGAGGGAGGGTGAGGTGGGGCAGCTTGGCCCAGACAAGTCAAACCACCATTACCACTTTGACTACCCTCACCCCTCATACCCTAGTGGAGATAGTGCAGGACCCTGAACCCTTGAGCCTGAGGAACAGCAATGCTTCCAGCCCTGTGTCTGCTGTCATCATTCTGGGAAACAGCCCCTCTGGAGATGCAGATGGGCAGCTGCTCCTGTAGGGGCTACAGCCACAGCTATTGAAGACCCTGAAAGGAAAGTTCTTGCCACCAAAGCCTGGGTGCTGTCAAATGGTTCAGCACCAGAAACTGATAGGAATTTATCAGTGGAAATGATGTTAAAAAAGAGGCTGCACCCGAAGGACTATGGGACCTTCCCATCTGACTTGTACCTAAAATCTGCCATGTGTGTTACTGTGAGCTCTTTGAGATCAGGGACTGTTTTTCTATTTGTATCTCCAGGGCTGTACACAAAGTAAGTGCTGCATTTATTCATAGTAGGAAGGAAGGAAATAAGCAATTATTTAATACCCACTATACTCTAGGCATCGTACTAAGTACTTTACAGCTATCTCATTTGATGCTGAAAACAGCCCAAGGTTATCATTATTATTACTTTTATACTTATTTTACAGTTGAGGAAACCAAGGCAGACAGGTTAAGTGACTTGTCCAGGTAACACAGCTGGTAAATGTTTAAGGCTGGATTTGAACTCGAATCTTCCTGAGACCAGACCCACACTCTATCCAGGGGTGGGGAACCTGTGGCCTCAAGGCCACATGGGGCCCTCGAAGTCCTCAAATGCAGCCCATTGACTGAATCCAAACTTCATAGAATAAATCCCCTTAATAAAAGGATTTGTTCTATAAAACTTGGACTCAGTCAGAAAGCCACACACAAGGACCTAAAAGTGGCCTTGAGGCTGCAGGTTCCCCACCCCTGCAGTCTATCCATTGTGCCACCTAGTAGGCATATAATAAATGGCTGTTGAATTTTGTTGTAGTGGCACCAGAGGTGGGCCTTGAAGGAAGGAAAGAGTTTCAAGTAGCAGAGTTGAAGTGGAGATTTTTTTAAAGCAAAAGACATCCATACTTTATTTTAAAAAAGAAAGAACAAAAAAATTGGTTTCCCTTAGTTGTTTTTGTTTTTGTTTTTTTCCTCTTCAGGAAAGGTTCAATGAAGTGGTTGGTATAATGGGAAATGATAATGGCATAGATAAAAGAAGAACCAATAAAACTTTTTTTATATCATTGACCATTTTAAAAAAAAAGAGAGAATGCAAATCATTGACTCGGTTTTTCAATCACTTTTTCTCTTTTCTTATCTTTGCTTTTACTAGTTTCAGTTGTTCCAGTGGATTTTCTCTTCAAATGGTTATGTGTTGATCTTTCATGAAAGGATATTACTTTACTTTTTAAAATTTAAGACAAATTTAAATGTAATTGAGAATTTCAAACAATTATAATCATTAACTTCTTAAAAAGTTGCAGTTTGGACGAAACTGGTTTATTACATTATACTTAAGAAAATGAATGATGTTGGGAAATATAAAAAATTTTAAGGTTCCTGGTATTGGCAGACAGGATAATAACCAGGAATAAAATTGAAGTTGGTAATGAATAGCTGTAGCATATTGTTTTAGCAGTTTTTTCTTCTTGCTTTTATTATTATTTATGGATTATAGAACAATTGAATGGTATCCTATAACAACCTGAATCTAGCATGAACACAGTGTCCTAGACTGGCTAATCCAGGGGTGGGGAACCTGCAGCCTCGAGGCCACATGTGGCCCTCTAGGTCCTCAAGTGCAGCCCTTTGACTAAGTCCAAGTTTTATAGAACAAATCCTTTTATTAAGGGGATTTGTTCTGTAAAGTTAATGGCGCTAATCCTTGTCACTCTTTAATTGCCATATAAAAATGGTCTTGCCATATTCCCTTGCTTCCTCTGGAGTGTTCCAGGTCAGGCCTGTCCCACAGAATAATACAATACTGCTTCCTTTCCTCTCTAAACATTGCTAATTTCCTTCAAGTCCCAGCTCAGCCTCCTTATTAGGCTTTTCTTGATCTCCCTAGCTGCTAGTGGGGGAAAATCTTTTTTTCTTTTGTGTTGTGGCAAGAAAAGCCTCTCTTATATTTGACAATACAAGTCAGTAAAAGGTTTATTCTATACATTGTTACAAAAGCCTAGGGACAGAAAGGCATCAGTTGCCACATAGAGAAATATATCTGTCTTTTTGGGGCCAGTGGGCTTCTGAATACAGGAGATTTTCTTGAAAGTATATAGCATACATGATGCTAGGTTCACAGCTGGTCAACCATTGAACCACTAGCCTTGGAGGCAGGTTGTTGTGTGTCAGAGGAAGGGAAAAAAAGAGGTCTTTGGGCTACTTTGAAAGTGTGATTCCAGTAGGATGTTAGGAGGAGAAGGCAAATGCGAAGATTGAAAAGTTTCAGTAGAGTGATGAGGGTGATGTATACATGTCATTCTTTCTGTATCTATTCTTCTTTGACTTCCCTTTTGTCCTTCCTCCCACAGGTGAATGGTGTAACCCTACAAGGGGCTGAGCACCATGAGGCTGTAGAGGCACTTCGGGGTGCAGGCGGGGCAGTATTGATGAGAGTCTGGCGGGAACGGATGGTGGAGCCAGAGAATGCAATCACAGTCACTCCTTTGCGTCCTGAGGATGACTACAGTCCCCGGGAGAGGAGGGGAAGTGCCCTTCGTCTGCCTGAGCCTTCTAGCCCCCCTGGCCCTCCTCGACAAAGGCATACTACCTTCCTGGTCAGAAGTGAAAGAGGCCTGGGCTTCAGCATTGCTGGTGGCAAAGGCTCCACACCCTACCGAGCAGGAGATGGGGTGAGAGGATAGAATGCAGATTGAAGGAGTGAGATGAGATGGAAGGCTGGAATAAGAGGGAAAGGCCAAGGTTATATTTAAGGGTATGGTAGGCGATGAGAAAAGAGGAAGAGGCTGAGAATAGGACAGTCACTTTTCCTATATTCCCTTGGAACCTATAATCCCTTGGAGTCCTGAGTCAGGAGCTGGGAATAGCCCTAGTGACATTGGATATCCCCCCCCACCCCCACCCCCACGGGTATTTTGGGATGGTGATTCAGAGATAAGATTTTCTCAAAGCTCTTACTTGGGTTAGTCTGCTAGGAAGGCAGGGAGGGAAAGGAGGGGCTGGAATGAATCTGGGTAAGTAAAGGTAAGGATGGCCTCTAAGATTATGCATTTGTGTGAAAGGAGAGTGTGAGGGGTATAGAGCAGGAGCTAACTGTTCTATCCTCTGCCCAGGGAATCTTCATCTCAAGGATTGCTGAAGGTGGGGCTGCCCACCGGGCAGGCACATTGCAGGTTGGGGACCGAGTAATCTCAGTGAGTGGCCAACTCCCAGGGCTCTCTTCTTCCCTCAAAAGTTGCACATGGGCTCTTATATAATCTTTCTATCTCTCTCTGCTTTGGGATTGCAAGATTATGGGATAGGGGTGTGGCTGCATTGAAGGGCTGAACCAGCCCAGTTGGGAGGGGAGGTCTGTTGGAGCCTCTGTGGCTGACCAGGGTGGTAAGAGCTGGGACTGTCTCTTCAGCGCTGCTTCTGTCTGTTCTGGCCCTTGTACAGGGATGGGGGGTCAGGGATAGCTGTCTTGCTTCTCTGGTCCCTGATCTCTGTTCCTGGGGGCAATTCTTCCAGATCAATGGGGTAGACATGACAGAGGCCAGGCATGACCAGGCAGTCGCACTGCTTACTGCTGCCTCCCCCACCATCACGCTGCTGCTGGAACGAGAGGCTGATGGGCCTCTTACCCCTGCCCCACCACTCAGCTCCCCTCTACCCCCCAGCCCTGTCATGCCCATGGCAGTTGGGGAGCCTGGGCCCCCTCCTAGCCTCATGGCCACCACTGTAGAAGGACCATATCCTGTGGAGGTGAGGAGCCCCCAACCCTCCCCCTTCTTTGTCTCCCAGTCCCCACCTCCCTTCATTTCCCCACACACACATCTTATTTTCTATTTTCCTCCCACTTCCCCCTGCCTGATGTTTCCCCTTCACCTGCCCCACTAAGGAGGTTCATTATACCTTCCTCTCTATCCTATGAAAAACATTTTTAAACCTCCTAGGATCATCCCTGTTTTATACCCCTTAGACCAGGATTTTGTCTCTTAAAGCTTGGGGAGGCTGTGTTTGTTCTCACATCCCCACCTATGTCAAAGTTGTTACCACACATCTCTCACTCTGTTTAATAATTCACAGTGATCTAGGGATTTATTTAAAGTTTTCGGATCTCTATTTTCAAGTGGTACCAATACTCAGTGTATTAGTTCCATAAATTTATTCTCCGGTGTGTGCTGTAAGTCTTCCTGTTGTTTGACCCAAAATCTGCCTCCCATCACACACAGAAAGGCATGGTCCTAATGTCTGGAATTTGACGAATGAGCTGTTTCTCCCTGGCCTTCAGATTTTTATACACTTGGATGCCCTCTTAGCTTTGGTCTTTTGAGATTGAAGCGGCCAAAATTCTTCAATCTGTCTCCATACATTCTTATCATACCCAGCATCCTTCTGTTCTACCCATCCTTTCCCTCTCTTATGCCTAAATCACTTTAGCTGTCCTTGGGGCTGTCTCAGGTGGCCCTCTTGTATTTTCCTTGAGGGTTAGAAGCTAGACCTACACACAGAATCCCTGGTGTATGAAGGGCAGAGGATACATCTGTTCCCTGTCCCTTCCTCGTAGTGCCCAGCATTTTTGATCTACCAGTCCAATGGGCTGAGTCTTGGGGAAACAGTCCCAGATGGAGGATTGGGAGACATAGTCTTGAAACTGCCACTAACTAGCTCTGAAGCCTTGAGCAAGTTGCTCATTTTAGGCTCCTTATCTCTGCAATGAGAAGAATGAACTGGATGGTGTCTATGAGCCTTTCCAACTCACTATAGCTCTAATGCCAGAAGTTTCCAGTGGCTCTTGAGGTCCTTCTTATCACAAAGAGTAGAGTCTTTTCATCTTATAAGTAGTTTAGATGATATCCCCAGATACCTTACCCTACACTGGACCAAATTGAGGTTTCTTTGCCACTCTTATGCTCTTTTGCCTAACTTCAAAAGTTTATATTGATGTTTATCTCCACTGGGTTAACATTTCACTTAGAGGAGGTTATTGTCATCTACAACCTTGGAGATTCTATTGTGCAGTCTCTCTGTCAGGTTATTTATAAATAATCTTGCTTATTTTTCCCTATCCAGAAAAAGCTTACACTTAGTAATCTGCATTAAGCACTTTGTTTCTGTAAAAGTGCTACAAAGATGTGAGCTTTTATTAAGTATGTGAACCCTACCTATCCTTTGTGTTATTTTCTCCAAGACAAGTCCCCATCTATGACCCAATAGCCACAGTCTTCCATAACTGTCTTAACCATACCTTCTGCATTGCCCCTTCAATATCTCCAGGAAATTTGCCTGGTGAAGGCTGGTGGGCCTCTGGGACTGAGTATTGTTGGAGGCTCTGACCATTCGAGCCACCCATTTGGGATCCAGGAGCCCGGTGTGTTCATCTCTAAGGTAGTGGGACTGGGGGTGGGGGTGGGGGGGGATAGGGAGCAAGTTGTATCTATGGAAGGTGGGGTTGTATCTCAGCCCCCTTCCCTGTCAGGAACACCCCACCCACCCCATACACGCTTGTCAGTGAGGATAGTGTTTGCAAATGGTAGATATATGTGCTTTGAGTGGGGTTGTACATTGCCTGGGTTGGGGGATGTTTGAATGTGGGATCACTAAGGAAATAGAATGTCTAGAAACTAACGCTAGAGTAAAGAAGGTCCAAAAAGCCAGCACATGCCATTTGACCCCTCCATTATTCAGTCAGACCTATGCAAGTATCTTTCCCCTTCTTAGTTTCTGTCATCCAGTTCTCTCTGGCTGCCCTATCCCTTTGGACTTCCTGTACTGCCTTGTACCTCTAGTATTGTGTTTCTGCCAGGTGCTTCCTCGGGGATTGGCTGCTAGAAGTGGACTGCGTGTGGGTGATCGAATTCTGGCAGTGAATGGGCAAGATGTTCGAGGGGCTACACACCAGGAAGCTGTGAATGCCTTGCTCAGCCCTACCCCTGAGTTGTGTCTGCTGGTGCGAAGGGATCCTCCCCCACCAGGCATGAAGGTATGTCTCTTCAACCAGGCTATAATGGACCAGGGGCAGAGGGCTGAGTTTGAGGGTGAAAGGAAGATTTTTTGGGATTGGAGAGATGTGGTAGTATAGGAGCTGATGGTGACAGATGGCTTTTTTGGCCTCTCTGTTTTTTCACCCCTACTGCCTTTAGGAGATCTGCATTGAAAAGGCCCCTGGGGAGAAGCTGGGGATCAGCATACGAGGTGGGGCCAAAGGTCATGCTGGGAACCCCTTTGATCCCACTGATGAAGGTGTCTTCATCTCCAAGGTGAGAACTCTTGGAGCCTAGAGAGATTGTCCACCAAAACAAATGTTTCCAAGATTTCTTACCCTGCCCTTTGCCACCAAACCCTAGAGTAAGGTTCCCCTTCCATCTTCAGCTATATCTACTCTGAGTCCCCTTTCACCCCCAAGATCTGCTTCTTACATTGATGTTTCTTGCCCTGTGCTTCCTAATGTCAGAGCCTGATACTCTCTCCCAATATCATGTGCTGTAACATTTTTCCATCGACACTCCGACCTGGCAGTCTGCTGGGTTTTCCATTCATCTTCCTGATATCCCTAACCTCTATTCTTCTTGTCTCCTAGGTGAGCCCAGCAGGTGCTGCTGGGCGAGATGGCCGTCTTCGAGTGGGGATGCGGCTTCTCGAGGTGAATCAGCAGAGCCTGTTGGGCCTGACGCACACTGAGGCGGTGCAGCTACTCCGTGGTGTCGGAGACACCCTCACAGTGCTCGTCTGTGATGGCTTTGACCCTGTCGCTGCCGCAGCCCTTGAGGTCAGTCACCCAACCAGTGACTTGGGAGGAAGGATTTTTATTAAGCTGTGTGCTAAGCTGTGTTAAGTACTGAGTATAAATGCAGAAGTCCCTACCTGCAGGGAGTTTGTTTTAATGGAGGAGAAAACCCCTGGAGGGCCTGAGAAGGTTGGTTAGGAGAGTAAAGTGGCAAAAGGTGCCAGCGTGAAAAGGAGGCTCCTTGGTCTTAGAGGGGACCTGACCAAGTGGCATGGCCAGGTCATTTAACCTCTCTGAGGAGCTTCCATCTTTCGTCTGTAAAACAGGGGAAAGAATACCTCTGGCAGCTACTTACTTAGTGACCTGAGCCTTCGAATAGTCCTCGAAATCCTCATGATCAGCAGCCCCCAGCTTGCTCATGAGATAGGCACAGGCCCAGCGTTCCGCCTTCAACATATATAGTGTTCCACATTCTTAATTGATAGCCCAGATGCCTGCCCACTCACTGATTCAGATTCCAATTTACTTGCACAAGTGTTTGGCTTCCAATGATCCCTAATATTAGAATAGGCCAGTTTGGCTGAAATAGAGAGTAATTTCTAGAAAGGTAGACTGGAGCCAGATTGTGAAGGACTTTTAAATACCAAACTGAGGAATTTGCATTTTATCTTAAAGGAGAGGGAGCCCCTGATGGTTGAGGCTGGGGCTGTCATGGTCAGGAAGTTTATTGTGGGAGACTGAATTAAAAAAGAGGAGAGTGGAAACCAAGAGCCCAGTACAGATGGTGTTGCAGTAATTGAGGTGAGAGGTGATGAAGGCCTGGACCTGGTGGAGAGAAGGAGATGGAAGTGGAAGGTGTTATAGAGTAGTATTGGAAAGACTTGGTAACTGCATGGATATGTGGAGTGACAGAAAAGGAAGAGTTTGGCCTTGATTCTTAGTTTGGTGTTGGCTGAGCTCAGCGCCCTTGGGCTGTCCTCAGCCTCAGAAGGTATTTCGGTAGCTCTGGGAGGTTCTCTTCCTGCTGTTGAAGTCATTTCTATCATCAAATTCAAATTGAACACTTAGTAAGCATCTGCTGTGTACAGGACACTGTTCCAGACAGTCTAGGTTCCGGAGCCCTTCCCTCAGAGAGCCTTTTTCCTTGTGTACACATGTAGAGAAGAAGTAGCCTAACATACCCCCAAGGTGCATATAAGTGGGGTGAAAAACAGGCTTCAAAGAAACACCTGGCCCTAGGGCTCAGACTCAGCTCTACCACAGTGTGCTTTGTAACCTGGAGCTACGTGAGTCTCAGTTTCTTCCTCTGTAAAATCAAGGGGTTGAGCTTACTAACCTTGGTTGTGTCAGGACCCCTTGTACAGTTTGGGGAGGCCTGTGAGCCCCTGTTCAGAATTAGGTTATTAGATGTACAAAGTAGGCATGGAGTCAGAAGAGACCTAAGTTTGAATTCTGGGGGCTGCTTATCTACTTCATGAGATCCTAGGCAAGACACTAAACCTTTGATCTGCAAAATGGGGGTAATACTTGAATTACCTACCTCAGAGAGTAGTCATGAGTGCTTTGTTAATATAATAGTGCTATAACAGTGAGTTTTTGTTTTTGTTTTTTTCTTAAATAGGACTGAACATTTTAAGGTATCAAAATTAACCCGGTAATACAAGGCAGCCCTCCTCAGAGTTTACACACTTGTAGTAATACATCTATGTATGGTACCTACTTTGACTTGAGGTCAGTCACAAACCAGACTCCCTTCCTGGAGCTGGGTCCTCACATATCCTTTCTTTACTTTTTACTTTCCCCTCCCCTAGATGTCCCCAGGTGTCATTGCCAACCCCTTTGCTGCTGGTATTGGGCGCAAAAACAGCCTGGAGAGTATCTCATCCATTGACCGAGATGTGAGCCCTGAAGACCTGGACAAGGTCAGTGTACCCTATAGTCAAGCCTCCCTAGGGTTCCTTGGGTGGCCCCCTTCCTCCCACTGACTGACATGAGTGAGGAGGTTTCCTGAAGAGTTGGTGAGTATTGGGTCAGAGTTTAGTTGTTATCCATATGGCTGCTCTTAGGAGACAGACCCTCAAAAAAGAAAACTTGGAATCAATGATGAGCACAATGGATACAGGTAAAATCCTCAAGGCTATTTGGGAAGGAAACTTCTCCACCCTCCTCCCTACCCTTCTTATTACCCTTTCCCTCAGCCTCCTAATGTATTGGCTTCAATGGTCAGTGCTGGTTTGGGGCATGCTGAGCCATCTAATCACAAGCTCAGTTCCTCTCCCTTGACTTCTAGTTTGTGTCTGTCTGTCTGTCTGTTTGACTCTTTCTGTCTCCCTCCTTCCTCCCCTCCCTCCTCTCCCTTCTCTCTGTCTCTCTGTCTCTCTCTCTCACACACACACACACACACTCACACACTCACACACACGCACGCGCAAAGGGCTCCAGGTGGCAAGGAATAGCTGTTGTAGGCTCTGCCCTTTCCCGTGGCTTCCAGTCTTTCTGTCTTTCTCTCTGCTCTCATGCCCTTCCTGCCTAAATCCTATGGCCATGGATTGGTACAGGAACCTATAGGTAGGAAATAGGCAAAAGGAAGTGGCCTTTAGGCCTTTGAGGAAGAGGAAACATGCATACCTACATATACATGTATGTGTGTGTCAGTACATACATATTCATACGTGTGTGTGTGTGGAGAGAGAGAGAGGGGAGTGAGAGAGCATGCTCAGTAGATTCATTCACATGTCCCCTGTGTCCTGGAGACACCAGCTGGCGCCTGGCCAAGGATTGATGCCAGTTCTCTCTAAGACTTCCTAGAAATTCTGATCTGTTCCTGGGCCTCAACCTTCATACATACATACGCTCATGAACATTGTTTACACACCTACATATGTTATAAAAAGATCTCTGAACCTCAGAATTTCATAGTTGGAATGGACTCTAGAAGATACAGCATCCAACTCTTACCTGAAAGGAATTGCCTTGATGACATTACTGACAAGTGGTCATCCAGCTTCTATTTGATGACCTCCAGGAATGGAGGAACTAACTAGCCTACAAGGTAGCGTCGATTCCATTTTTGAGTAGCTCTAATTGTTAGGAAGTTCTTTCTTATATTGAGTTAAACTCTGTAACTTCTCCTTATTTCTCCTAATTCTTCTGAGGCCAAACAGAGCAATTCTAACCTCTCTTTGACGTGGTAGTCCACCAGATACTTGAAGACAACAGTCATGTATACACATCCTCACCACCACCAAGTCTTCTCAGTTAAATTCAATAAACATTTGCTAAGCGCTCGCTCCAAGAAAACTATTATACTAGATCTGGGCATATTAAGACAAGATTGAAATAGCCTCTTCTTTCAAGGAACTTCCCTTTTGGGGAAACCCATGTGCACAAGCATCCCCTTTGCCTTAATCTTCAGACTGCAAGGTTTCTAAGCTTCTTACCATTCTGGTCAGTGTTACATGCTCCTTCTCATATAGACACATGTACCTTTTCACAGGTATATTTTCTTTGGATTTTCTTGCAGACTCTTAGTCCAGAACCTCTGAGGCTGGATTACCGAACCCTGGCTGCTTTGCCTGGGAGCAGCAGTATCCAGAGAATCAATTCTAGGGTGAGTGATTACTGTCCCTCCTTCTTTTCCAGTACTTTAGCACTTGTGCACTCTCTCTCACTCTCTCATGCTCTCTCTCTCACTCTCTCGCTCTTTCTCTCTCTCTCTCTCTCTCTCTCTCTCTCTCTCTCTGTCTCTGTCTTCCTCTCCCTCCCCTCCCTCTTTTCCCCTCTCTATCTCTCCTCCCTCTTTTCTTCTTCCTCTGTCTCCATGTCTCCTTCCTTTTTCCCTCCCCCTTTCCCTCTCCCTGTCTCTCTCTTCCTCCCTCCCCCCCCTTCTCCATCTTTCCCTCTCCCTAAATTCTGCAGTGAGCTGTATGGGGGTGAATAGAAAGTGTGATAGAGTAGGGGGACGGACGATGTCAGTGAGTGCTGAACGGCTGCAAAGAGTTTGGGAGAACCAATTAGGAAAGGCTTCTGGGTTGCGATAAGCTTGGGTTGGGCCTTAAAGGATAGGTAGGATATAGGATGGCTAGAAGTAGGAAGGATTTTCCAAGCTGGAGGAATAATATGAGCAAAGGTGAGGTCAGGAATCCACAGGGCATGTTCACGAGATAATGGGGAAACTGACCAGTGAAGTTGTTGAGTATGAGGCAAGGAGGAGAGATATCCAGAAAGGTAGGTTGGGCCCAGGTTGCCAGTAGCTTTAAATGCCAGGATGAGGAAGGATATGGATTTGATCTGTGATAGGCAGTGGGGAGCCCAGTAAAACACTGGGCATATAGAAGGTATTAGTTGATTGATTATAGATGCTCTAACCAGATGTGGCCTGGTAAAAATATTATTTTAAAATAAATTGGAAAGAAGGAGAACTGGAGTTAGGGGACTGGTTAGAAGGCTAGTACCATGGTCTGGGTTAGAGGCACTGGTAGGGGTTCCCTGAGGGTACAGCAACAATAAACTTATAATAAGTACCTGTATGTAGAGTATGTAGAGCACCTGTATGTAGTATGTAGAGCACTGGAACCGACAGTAGGGATGTGCCAGGTGAGATAAGACTGAGTCATTTTCCTGGAGGTCCCTTAAACTTGATAGAGAGATGGATGGTGAAGGGATGAATGCTAGAAATACCGTGGAGGCCGTGGTGACTGGCGTAGTGGTGTAGAAGGCCACCTTCTTGGCTTAGCTCAACCCCTAGCTCTCCTCCTCACTAACTGTGTGGCCATGGGCAGGCAGGTCCATTGACCTCCCATTCAGCTCTAAACCTGTGATGCTAAGGAGAAGTCAAAGAGAACTCCTGACAGCGTTAGCCCAGGTGACCTTGATGTTTAGTTTAGCATACACTGATAACAGAAATGGCAAGTTAGGAAGAAATTTAATAAATAGATTTGCTGGAGCAACTAAGCTATGCAGTAGCCTTGACATTTAGAAGAGTAGTCAGGGCTAGTGATGTATAATGGTGAATTACTTGCTAAAGGTAAAAGTTGAGAGAATAGCAAAGGGTTTAGAGACTGTTAGGATGTGACCATATGTCCTAACTTGACCTAGAGGTTGGAAGAAGAAAGGTGTATCAGGAAAAGAGGAGTCAGGGAGGTCAGAGAAAGCTAGGACAGTATATTATAGAGATTGAAGAGAAAAAGTTTCAAGAAGAGTCAGTGGTATTAAATGTTATAGGGTTTTACCTCCATTTTCCCAAATGTGCCTTTGTCCATTAGTCTTTCCCTCAGTTCTCAATGCCTCTCCTTCCATATAGGGTCTCTCCCACAGCTCTGTTCCTTCCTCATTTTTTTCCTCTCCCCTCCCCCCAGCAGATAAAAATAGCCAGCTGGGTGGGTGTGACCAAGGGCAGGCCAACAGCTGGGAAGCCCAGGACCCTCAGGAATGTTGAAGGGCTGGTGAAAGGGGTATAGCCCAGGGCAGCTCTAGTCCTGGAGACCAGTGTTCTCCAGAGGAGGTGAGGAGACTACAGCTCTTTTGGGGGGGGCTCTGCTGAGACTTAGTTTAGGGGAGGATTTTATGGGTATACCTGTACAATAGGGTGCAGGGAGGAAGGTCAATTTAAAGGTGGGTTGTAAAAGAAGGTGCATGAAGGGAAGAGGGAAAAGTGGGAAGTGTACAGGGGACATAAGCAAGGTTCTGATGCCTTCTAGGGCAAAGAAGGTAGGGATTTAATTTTGGTACTGACCCCTTCCCATCACTCTTCCTGATCCTATATGTTTCCCATTCTCCCTCATATTCCTCTCTCCTTTTCCCAATCTTTCTGCACTATTCCCTTATCTCCCTTCTTAAACTCATTCCTTCTTCCCCTTTGATCATTTTCTCCCATTCCTTTCTCTTCCCTGTCCTTTATCCTACTTACCCCTTTTTCCATGTTTCTGGTGGTAATAACACAAAGATTTTGAGGAGGACCTTGAACAGGACCCCAAAGCCATCAGAAAGAGGGGCTATAAATAAGCTGATCAAAAGGAAGAAGCCCTCAAGAGATTTGAAACAGGCCATTTGGGAGTACTGCCCCAGGTGGGCTCATGAATGGGAAAGGAGATTTCCTACAGCAGGCTCAATCACGTCTGTGCCCTGGTCTTTACAGAGGGAAGGTATCAGGGAGAGTCTTCCTTCTAAACTGCCTTTTAGAAGAGCAGCTGAGTCAGCAATAATAGATCAGGCAGTGGTAACTATGCAACATATTCTAGACCTAATTAACACATTAGATACCAGGAAATTCTCCTGGACAACATTGGAAAGTTTCAAAGGAATTCAAGGGTGAAATTGGGGAAGGCTTGTTGAAAATGTGTGATGTGTCCTGACAAAACCCGCACTGTTGAGGAGGCCTGGCACATAGCCAGCGTGCCTCCTGCTGGAGATGATGCTTGGAGCAAGGACTCCAGAGAGACAAGACAGGCAGCTGTCCAGGGCCCAACAAGGGGAGGACAGAACCAGACATACTTGGTCATTTTTTTTAATGAATGTACATTTTTAGTCACAGAAAATTTTTTTTCATGGCCCATTGTTATTTATGTGATAATTTAAGTCAACTGTTATAGTGAAGGTTCAAAGCCTCCAAAGGCAGTAACATAAAAGAGGTGTTGTTTTTAAAACTTGTATGTCCATAGATGGAGAATTGTGGTTAGTGGGGAAGGTCTTCCAGAGATAGGTGTTCAAGGACAGATCCTAGCTAACATTTTAAAAAAAATTATCTAGAAGAGAAACTGTACACTGAAATAGCCAGGGTTGCAAATGATTCATAGCTCTGGTGGAGAGTGAAATATTGCTGTAATAGAACAGACTGCACTGAGAACTCTTGAAGCTGCACATGGGGACAGGGGAGTGTTAGTATGAGCAAACGTAGAATGATGTTTGAGAAGAAGGCATTCAAATTCTAGGCTTCTGGACTTTGAACTCACAGAGACTACCATAGGAAAAGGGCCTAACAATCGCTGTAAACTGAAATCTGTTAGAGAACAGATTCTTGTTCAGGTCTTGGATGGCCTTTACAGACCCTTCCAGTTTCGTGGCTGTCCCCTGAGGACATGTGCTAAGAATGTAGTGGTTAGGTGACCAGTATCAGCAAGGGCTAGGAATAGGAGTGCTAATGTTCAACTTCTCAGCCTCATATAGCCCAAAGTGCAAGTCTGATTGGTAGACATCATTCAAGACATAACAAGGCCAAAGAAGGTTCAGAAAAGGACAAGAGAATAGGAATGAGGGAAGATTGTTGAAGACAAGGTGAAAGCCCAAGCCTTTTAATTTTGGGAAGTTGAAGGCTAAGAAAGAACAAGATACAAGTCATTAAATTCCTAAAATAGAGTAAACATGTACTAATGGATCAGAATGCAGACAGTAGATTATGGGAGCCTGAGAGAGGGTCTTAGGTAGGACATAAGACAAAAAAGTCTTATAACAAGTAGTAGCCCCAGAAGTTGTACCAAGCCGGAAATATAGATTAAAATAGAATTTTGATAAATTATTGAGTTCCAGGGTACAGTTGAGAAGACTTTAAGGATGTCTCTAACCTTCAAAAACAATATGTTGAAGGTTAACCATGGCCTTTCCAAACCATCTCTTGATAACCTGGACAGAGGTAGGCTGCTCAGCTGGCTGAATCAGGAGACTGATACCAGGGGAAGGGAGCATTGTTTTGGGCCTTATTGCACTGTATCCATCATCTTTCCTCAACTCTTCTTCCATCTCCCTTCCTCACTTGTTCTCCTTTTTCTGTGTGTCCCATCTCTGTTGGTCTGTCTTCCATCTCTCTCTCTTATGTGAAGCTCCAGTTTTCCTCTCTCCTGCGTGACAATCTCTGGGAGCCCAAGCCCAGCGCGATGGACAGAGCCCCAGCAGGCCTGCACAGAGCTGAGGGCAGCTCAGAGGTCTCAGCCTTGACCCAACCTAGCAAGGGCCCCACTGGGTTTACCCCAGTCATGGGTGCCTCCCCAAGAAGTCCAGAAGAGCCCTTGGGGGAGGGGGAGAGCCTGGTGGATTCCAAGTCAATTCCGTTTGGGGAGAACCCTTTTGTGCTGGCCAACCGGGGAACATCATGCCTAGGGGGCCCTCCCCTGGGATATGGCCAGGGAGGGGTGCTGAAGACCAGCCTCTGCATCCCCAAGGCAAGCGAGCCCTTCACCCTTACCCCAATAACTGTGTCATGGAGACTAACCTGGGAACTTGGGCTGGGGACTAGCGTGAGTGTAAGAGGCACTAATTATGATCCCTAATTTCCAGCCCTACAAAAGGGGCTGGAGGAAGGAGAAAAACTGGGGGCCTCTAGCTATGACCTCTCAACACCTTCCCTCATCTGTAGGTCTCACAGTATCTTTTTTCCTGCTGTTCATTTGTTTCCCTATTATCAATAAGGACATCTACAGAGGGTACTTAAAACTTTTCTGTCCCATCCCCAAATCTCTTAGCCTGCTCTTGACCCTTCACCCCCTCCAACTTCCTATACTTTTCTCTGTCCTAACCTTTTAAGTCCATACCCATAAAGACATATATTGATATATGCATAGACATTTATACATATGCATCGACATATCCCCTATGGACCTGACAAAATTATAATGACTCTTTGTGTGTCCATCCTCCTGTCTCTCTCTTTTCCCTTCCATTACCTCACTACCTGGTCTCCTTTTCTCTTCTAGGTTTCTCCAGGGGCCATAGGAAACCCTCTTGATGCCCCCCGTTCTCCTAGTAGCCAACAGGTGAGTTTCAGTGGGGGATGAGACCAGGAGACGATATTGGAGTGAAGAGTCTACAGTAGTGGGAGGGAGAGCCTGGCAGGAGAATCTTTTTTCCTGACTAGGGTCTGTCAGTTGAACTCATCTTTAATCAAGACCCCTCGATCTTCAGGAGCCCTGGGTGTGATGGCAGAGATCTGCCCCTTTCCCTTCAGGAAATCCTGATGTGATTGGAATGACAGAACAGGCATTAAGTAACTTCCAGTTGCCCACACCTGTGAAACTCCCTTCAGCACGCCTGTACTGAGGGCCTACTGTGTGCAGAACACTGGGCTGTGGTGTTGAGGGAGATAAAGAGATTTGGTAAGGCAGGAGCCTTGCTCTCGTGCAGTTACTCACAGTTCAGAAGGGTGAGATAAGCATAGGTCCTGAAAAGGCACAGTCTTCGTGTCACTTCCACAAACACCTATGAAGCATTGACAGTGTCAAGGCTGTATGCACAAGCTACCCTACATATAGAGACAGAAGAGAAGTCAATACTGGATAATTTGAGGAGTTAGGAACACTAACAACCTGGGCATACCAGGGATACCTTTTCCTAGGGGCACCCCTGACCTGGGCCTTAGGGATTCTGAATGGTGAAGGGGAAGAGAGAGTCCATTCCAAGCACAGGGGCCAGTCTATGCAAAGGCACAGAGTCGGGAGATGGATTCCCAAGTTCAGTGAATATTGACTTGGCTGGTTTGTCTGGAGTGTGGAGTATGTGAAAGGGAATAGTATTGGTCTAGAGCCACCTGATGGAGATGGTCTTTATGTGGCAGGTTGAGGATTCTGTTTTATTCCAGAAGCAATAGGGAGCCACTGGAGACTTTTGAACAGAGGAGTACGACATGCTGACTTGTCCTTCAGTGAGACTGTTTTGGCAGTTCTGTGGAGAGTAGGTCAAAGGGGAGTACTGGAAGCAGGGAGACCAACTAGGCTATTCTAAGGGTCTGAACTAGGGTGGTGGCCATGTATGGGGCTAGAGAACAATAAATGTAGAAATATTATGGAGATAGAATTAACAAGGTGTGACAGCTGATTAGATATCAGGAGAGGAGAGTTAAGGATCGCTTCATTGCACACTTGTGTAACTGGAAGAATGGTGCTGCTCCGAGGAAAGGAGAAGTTTGTAAAGGCTGGGTTAGCGGAGGAAGTTGATGAGTTTCATTTTGAACATGTTAAGCTTAAAATGCCCATGGTGCAATTTAATTTAATCTCCAATTAGAGATATTCAACAAGTAATTGGTGATTTGGGAGTGCAGTCCAGGAGAGAGATAAGAGCTGGATATGTAGATCTAGGAATCCTCTGTATCATGATGATAATTGAATTCGTGGAAATTGATGAGACCACTGAGGTAGAGAGAATATATAAAAAGAAGAGGGTCCAGGAAAGAGCTTTTGGGGTGGAGGGTGATGAAGGAGACTGACGGCGATTAGTTAGATAGTTACTTCTTGAAAAGTTCCTTAGAAAAGTACAAAATGCTGTATACAGTTTGAAGAACATTGTTGCCAATGGGGAGATCAAGGAAGCTCGTCTGGAAGAGGTGGCATTTCAGTGGGTCAGGGATTCAGTAGGCAAAGGATATGGGGAATCATAGACAGTCCTTGTTTTACTTAAAGCCCTTTTTACATAAAGTTAATTTGCCCAAGGAGGTGGGGAAGGGTAGGAGGGAAGAAGGCAAAAGGGGGGCTGTACACAGTTCAAGGGACATGTGGGGGTTGGGGACAGACATGTGGTACCAGAGGGCTGACTGACAGAAGGCAGATATGAGAGTGGGTAAGCAGATGGCAGCAAAGGTCTACTCTTTCAGTGCTGGAGGTCTCACGCCAAGCACCCCTGCGATGGTGGTGGTGGTTCTGCTTTCACTTGGAGAGGTTTTTTTTATTGGGGAATGGGAAGGGGGAGAGGCTGTGGAGCACCAAGCCAAGGGCAAAGAGTGGAGAGAGAGAGACAATACAATACTGTACAGTAAAGTAACATAGGTTATTTTTGGAATGCAGATTTCTTTCAGAATTCTTTATGCAAATTTGCCTCCCTAGCAGGCTAGCGGCAGGGTCCTGCTCCTGGCAGGCAGCTGCGACGGCAGTGACAGCAGCACCTTTGCAGCCCTGCAGAAGCTGCTTCAGTGGGGTGGGGTGGAAGGCACACAGAGCCCCGTGAGGGGAGGGGAAGGTCTACAGAATGTTCCACTTACATTAAGTGAGAACTGGCTACATAGGCATAGGGAACAGTGCAGGCATAAAGCTAGAGGTGGGAAAACACAGGGCATGTTTGGTGAATAAGAAAGTAGTCCAGCTTATTGGATTATAGGATTAATCAACCAATGCTTGCTATGTGCCAGTGCAGGAGGTACAACTAGAAAAGTGAGGCAATCCCTGCCCTACATGGAACTGGTAGAATAGAACATGTTCACAATAATTAAATGCTGAGTGTATGCAGAATACACAGTATTAGGGAGATGAGTGGGGAGACTAGCAGCTGAGGGAATCGGGAGGAGGCGGTACTTGAGTTGAGCCTTGAAGGGACCTCAGAGTTCCTGTAGGCCAGCCCTAGATTGAATAGACAAGGAAAGACCCAGAGAGGGCACAAGTGACAGATGCTGCATTTCAACCTGACTCCCTAGAGGATACCCAGTTCAAAATATGTAGGAGGCAACTAGTGATGAGAGATTGGAATTCAGGAGAGAGACAAGCGCTGGAAATTAAGATCTGGAAGTCATCTGCACATGGTGCAGAGGTGACATCAGCTCCTAATGTACAGAAAAGTAATAGGAGCAACTGTTGAAAGAATAGTTTCGCACAAGATTTCAAAGGGTCTTGAATTGTGTGCAAAGCACCATGCTAATCACAGAGGATACAAATAGAAAAGCAAGACAGTGTCTGCTCTCAGGGAGCTCACATTCTGAAGGGGAGACAACACGCATGGAAGGTTTCAGCTGCAGATCAGATGGAGAGGTCCCCTGGTCCTTGAAGTACAACAAATGGTCATGCCTCAAATCCTATCCGTTTCTAATGCTAAACCATTTGACAGCACCAAGGCTTTGGTGGCAAGAACTTTCCTTTCAGGGTCTTCAGTAGCTATGGCTGTAGCATCTGCAGGAGCAGTTGCCCATCTGCATCTCCAGAGGTATTGTTTCCCAGGATGATGACAGCAGACACAGGATAGAAGCATTGCTATTGCTATTCCCAAGGTTCTTGGGTTCAGTCAGTCAACAGTCTTTTATTAAGTACTTGTAGTGTTTCAGGAACTGTGTTAAGTGCTGGAGATAACAAAAAAAGGCAAAAAAACCAGTCTCTGCTTTCAAGAAGTTCCCTACTCTAATGGGGGAAATAATATGCAAACAACTCTGTTACAGATAAGATATACAGTGTGTCCCAAAAGTCTTTTAACTGCACTAAGGCTTTTAGGACGGCCTCTATACAGAATAAATTGAGAATATGCAATAGAGGGCAAGATGGTGGCCAAGGTAGTGGTAATGTTTTGGCTTGCTTGCCGTGTGAGTTGGTTAGTTGGTGCAGATAGCTATCCCCTTCTCCACAAGAGTTACTTTGCTAGAGGATGGCTGTGATGGCCAGACTGGGAGCAGAAGTGGTGATTGGGAAGAGGGGAGGGGGGTTGCTGCCCCCCCCCATCTCCTATGCTTATCTGCTTCTTGATGGCAGTTGGTCAGCAGTTGTTCCTGAGAGTGATAAGGAAGCTGGGCCCCTTCTCAATAACGATTCCTTCTCTCAGTGATCGAATCCAGGAACGGGTTGGAAGCAGGTCTGGTGGTTTGAATGATACTCATCTTCCAAAGGCTTTTGGGTTTCAGGGTCCAGTATGGTCTAAAGGGAGATGGTGGTCAAAGTGATGGTGATTTGAGTTGCCTGGCGCCTGCCACCTTCTATGACAAACGAGTTTGACCATTACTTAATAGGCAGTTGGAAGCCATTGAAGATTTTAATATGCTGTAAAATTCCTTGAGATGGATGAGATTTGTTTTTTTTTTCTCTTTATATCAAGTACTTAGTACACTATCTTGAACATATTACGTGTTTAAATAATAAATGTTAAATTGGATTAAGGAGGTTAATGTGCTAATCACATCTGTGCATAAAAAAGATAAGGCTGGTAGCAATTATGAAGCATGGATTGGGGAGGGGAAAAGAGGGACATAGAGTAGAGGCAGGAAGAGCTGTTGGGAGACAATACTAGATAAATGAGGACCTTTACCAGGATGGTCGCAGTGGAAATAGGGAAAATCAAGGTGGATTCAAGAGGGGTTAAAGAGGTAGAATTGGAAGATTTGGGTAATTGATTGGAATTGAGAGTTAAGGGGAAGAGAGGAGTCAAAGATCATAATTTTGAAAGGAACAATACATGTACATATCATCGAGTTTGTCCCCTCATTTTATAAACTGAGGCTCAGAGAGGTACCCCAAGATTTTCAACTTGAATGATTACAAAAATTGTGAAGTTGGAAGGAGGAGCAATTTTAGGGGGTAAAGAGGAATGTGTTGGGTTAAAGGTATAGGTGGAGATGTCTTATATAGGCAGTTCCTCTTCATTTGAGATCTTTAAATAATAATAATGATAATAATAATATTACCTAGCATTTATATAGCACTTTATATATGTCGTTTGAGCCATATAACAACCTTGTGAGGTAGGTAGGTGCTGTTATTATCCCCATTTTACCAATGAGGAAATTGAGGTTGAAAGAGGTTGAAGTAACTTTTCTAGGGTCCTACAGCTAAGAAGTGTCTGAGGCAGGATTTGAATTCAAGTGTTCCTGACTCCAAGTCTGACCTTTCTATCCACTGCACCAGCCTACAGAGGCTGGATCACCAACAAGCAGTTGGAGAAGTAGTAGAGAAAATTCCTATTCAGGTATGGGTTGGGCTAGATAATCTCTGAGTCCTCTTCCAATGCTGAGTTTCTGTGTTTCAGTTATAGCTACAGACTTAGAGCTCAGAATCAATGTTAGAGTGGCAAATATAAA